TTTCCGAAAGTTAGATGAGAAAATGTATCCCACACTTATGTCTGTGCATTTAAAATGCAGCTGAAGCCAGGAGGTTAGTCGCTTAGCCTTGCATACGCATCACTGCTCCCAGCTGTTGTTTGCCAAGAAACAGCACATAACCGAACAACATGATGTTTTTAGGTAGATTGTATTATGCTAACCAATGGCTGTAGCTTCACATTTACCCTCCACACATGAGTATAAACAATCTGCTTATCCGTCTCGCTGTTTTTTTGCCAAATAGGTTTGCATGTACAGTGAATTTCCTTTTGTGTAAAATAAATAATTATGTACTCCATGGTGATTTCTGATGAAAAGTCATGTGTGTTGTCCGCAGCTCGTCCCTTAGATAGTCCCTTGATCCTCCTTAGCAATGGTCATGTTCTCCCTGGCAACGGAATAGAGTATTCAATAATCATAAATATAAATACAGAATAAAAAATAAGTTTAAAACTTTATTATTTTAAGCACCTTCTTTCGTGAACTATGTGACATGCAACACACATTGTGATCTTTTCACTAATTAAAATGTACTGACTGACTGCAGGTGATTAGCTTAGCTTAGCATGCAGACTGAAAACGTGAAACAACGCCTATTTAATCTCTTGTTTGTTTAATTCATACACAAACATAAATATGGTTTACAGTGAGATACATATTTCTAAACATTCAGTTTAATGGTGGGTTTAAGTGCCAAAAGGTTTTTAAACTTATAAGTTCAAATATTTCTCCCAAATAGAGCCTCAAAGAGCCTAAATATCCAGACCACTCAATTCTCCATCTCCATATTAATCCTGAGTAACATGTACCAGTTAGTGTTTCCTGTATCACTGAGCCACCCTTTGTGTCAGCGGTCTGTTTCGGCTGAACTGACTGCCTAGCCAGCGTGCCATCCCAAGATACCACAACTTAAAACCGCGCAGCAACCAAACGCCAACATAAAATCAGCGTCAGGCCTCCAGACCCATAGTTTTTCATCCAGTCCTCATCATGGAATCAAGCAGGCCTTTTCCAACCGCACTAACAAGCTCAAGCTAACACCCCCAGGCATGGCCCGACGTCTTTAAGATGATTGAAGCAGCCAGAAGCGGCCTCAGCCATGTTTCCAAGCACCAAGCAACCCCAAAAGCCTTATCCTATTAAACCACATACACCGTCTCATGTGTTGCGCCACAAACAGACATGCAAAACTGGGCCGATTTTCCGTTTGAGAGCGAGAGGATTGTTGTGAAAGAAGCGGTGGGCAGGATGACAGTCAGAGATGTGGCGGTTTGGGCTCCATCTGTTTCTCGCTAAGTCAATGAAGGGAGGAAGAAAAAGCTGAGCAGATACACTAAGCATTAGCGGTTAACCAACTACTAATGAGGGGAAAAAGAAAAACATTGAACTCAGATGAAACCATTTAGCATACAGCGGTGAACAGTATCCTAACTGGGTTTCAGGGAAAGAGAACACTCACGTAAGTCCATGTGCAAAAAGCAGACGGGTATAAAGAAGTTGAGGTTGGGCCTGTTTCTAATTGATGTGTGCGTGTGCCTTTAACACCATCCTCAGAGTATATGCGTGTATCCCGTACATGTACTTCCACACCTTTGATACAGCAAATGTCCGGGGCACTGGGCTCTGGTGTAGTCTTGGCATGTAAAGCTTGATCCTCGTGCCAGGGTTTGAGGCTTGAGGCTTTTTCATTCCTCTGATCGCCTCTTTCCCCCCTCATCTACCCCCACCACCTCCAAGCTCTGGAATAAATCCTGGGAAATGAGAGGGCCTCCTGCCCCTTCGCTGCTACTCATTCCCAGGTGTGCAAATCCCAGTTCAACCCAGGATCAGACAGTGACACAGCCAAAATGTTAGACAGAGGAATAATAAATGACGGCGGATAAAGAGCAGGACGTGAGGTGAGGAGCGAGAGAAAGGTGAGAAGTGTGGAAAGAAAAAGAAACAAGATGAAACAAAAGAAAGAGATGGAGCAGAAGGAGCTTACTTTTGGGAATGTGAGCCATGCTGAAACCATTCAACTCAAATCAGCACCATGTGTCCTCCAGAGCCTTATTATCCCATAAATGAACTTTATTGAGGCAACAAAGTGCTTTGGAGCTCTGCAAAAACATTAAAGGGGCCTTGCCTGTCTCGGCCTGGAGCCAAGAGAAGTCCGATTCCTTAGGGGACTAATGAAAAAAAGAGAGGGGCCCCTGGCCTCGTGTTCGCTGCCCCCAGTGCAGCCTCAACGGCACTGCCTGAGTTATTGCCTATTAGTGACAGAGAAATAGTTAGCAATTACACCAGGGAGACAAATATGGCGCAGACCTCTCGATTGAACTGACCTGTGGAATTAACCAGGAAGGAAGGATGACAGACAGAAAGGTGAAACAGCAGAAAGGAAGCAGTGGGAGAGGAGGGAAACACAAATAGAAGATAGGACAAGCCTCGTTATACTGGGAACCTTTTGGACTGGCTTATGTTCGGGGGAATTTGAAGTGCAATTTCCTGTGGTGCTCACAAGTGCATTCTCCTAAATGAAATGGGTAAATTGACACAAAACGCATACAATTTCAAATGTTGGAGGTTTACAACGACTCAAGGCATGTAGAAATTCCTATTTTGCATCTGTGTTGAAAAAAATAAATGTTGTCCGTCGTCCATAGTTTGGCTGGATATAGATAACGCAATAATATCATTAGTGAGAATTATTCAGCCATGTTAATCATTTACTGAATATCTGATATTGTAAAGGCCCTTATTTCAATATAAAAGTCGTAGTGCTATGATGAAACATCATCATCTTCATCATCATCAATAGTGTGCTGGGTGCACTTTACTGATTTTACACATCAGACTCTGTTTACAGGTGTTGAGGAGCACTACTGAAAACGTTTTATGAAGGCTTTTGTCCAGAGGGAGGTGCAGAATTGAAATATAGTTTTAAGAAAGGAAACTGTGGCTGAGGCTGAAGAAGTTTAAGAATGAAAAAAAGAAATCTGTTAGTGTAGAGTTTGAAAAAGTTAGTTTAACAGACCTCATCTCTGCTTGAAAGCTATTTCATGTGTTAGGTATTCAAAACAAAAGTGATCACATTTCCTGTAAAACACAAAAAGGCCCCTCAGTTTCTGTGATACACAGTGTGAGGGGATTTCTCCAGGGAGAGGTGGCCGACTGCTGTGTGAGATAACAAACGTTCGTGACAGCTCGTGGGACAGGAAGCAAACATGTGAGCGTGTATCTGATGTCTATTAACCGCCCGCCTGCCTCCTCAGCCAGCTCACCACTCCAGAGGCATGCGGTGTACGGCCGGGGCTTACTCCAACATAAATAAAGTCTCTGATCCTTCTCTGGATGAAGAATCTTTTATAAAAACGGGATCCTTTGCGGTCGGTGAAGGGGCAACAGTGGTAAACCAAAGGGCCGCAAGTGGATGTATGGGACTGATTAGGAGCCTGGAAATGAGATTAAAGAGAGATCTAGCAACAGATTGAATTGTATTTGCCATAATTGCTGAGAACAGCTTATTCAGTGCAGACCGCAGAAAAGAGAATCATAAAACCAAGGAAGGAGGAGGGAGGAGGGAGGAGATGAGGGAGGGCTGCCACTTGAAACCAACAAGCTTTTCTGAAGAAATCAAACCCAGGACAAGTCTTGTATCAATTAGAGTGTGCGCATGTTGTGTTTGTGTGAACAGAGGATTGTAAAAGGGATAAAGTTCTCCTTTGGGCTTAATTAGTAACCTTGATTATTTTCAGGCCAATTTAACCACACAGTGCTTTCTTTGAATGGAAAATCCCCCTGTGCCGACTGTGTATGCAGAGAATGTATCTGAAATGAGATAACTGAAATAGGCCTGACCTCAGTTCTCATCATCCCATTGGAAAGAGCTTTAATGAAAAATAAATCTTGTGATGAGAAAAAAAGAGAAATCAATAGAGGCTCAAAGATAAAAGTGAGCGCTGTGTGCCAGAGAGCTACTCGCTCTCATTCCTGGGTTGATTGTACTCAGAGTGAAACCACATGAACCGAGCGCTTCTCACAAGGGGAGAAAAGGCGTGTGGAGCTAACCGCAAACATTTACTGTACCGCTTAAAGCCCCTGAACACTTGGTATTTCTCTGTCACATCAAATATTCATAACACGGAACATTCAATATTCAATGAGCATCAAGTGCAGAAAAACTAACCCCACACAATGCTCCATCAGGTTGAGTGGGTGATCAGATTTGATTGACAGTCCGGAAAACAAATGCTCTACTTGGCACTAAACACAAAAATCAACTGAGGCTGATTGAGAGGTCAGATTTACATGTATATGTACATTTTACACTTATATTCAATTTCATATTTGATATTCCATTCCTTACTCACTTAATGTGTGTATATATACAGTATATATATATAATATCCTGCTTTATATTTTGTTACTGTACATTTGTATCTCAACATGTATATTTTTCTACTTTTTTTAATGCTATTTTATTTCTTTTTGAGATGTTTACATTTTGGATTGTTTATTTCTAGTCTTTGAATTTCTCTAATGTACAATGCCTTGTCTTTTTATGCTGCTGCAATGCAAGCATTCCCCAAATTGAGATCAATAAAATACTTATTATCTTATCTTATCTTACATCAGGTATTTTCGTCGGTGTAGAAAAAAGTGTAGGACCAATTGATGATTTAACCAGATGGTGGTGCTTAAAATGAAAAGCCACTGAAGGCATTAAAATGCGCTGTGTGGGAACCATGAAGGTCTGTACTAAATGTGCCACCCCATAAAATAGAAATTGATCTTATTGAAAGCAGTAAGTAAAACATTTGCCTGTTGGTGGCACTAGGGATCAGGAAGTCACCAGAGTCAGAAGGATTCATCCTTTGGGGAGCATGAATATACGTGCAAACATTCATGGCAATTCATCAAACATTTGTCGAGGTATTTCCGTCTGGACTCAAAAATGCTTGAAGTTCTTTAATGACAAAACACACTGAACAAAAAAGTAGTTTCTATGTTAGGCACTTTTATTGATTTTGTATTACTGATTCACAAACAAAAGAATTATTGTCAACCTATTAAAACAGATTGGAGTACAGTGTATTTATTCAGAGATTTACATTGATTGAATTTAAATAGACTATGTTAACAGTAGAGGGAATACAGTAAGTGTTAATCCTATCATCTGCATAACAAAATGCAAAAGGTATTTTCTAAACTATCTGTTGGTTTAAACAGAGTTTGGCCAAAATATAAAAAAGAGAGCGAGAATTATTAGTTGGTAGTGTTTTAACCGGGAGGTAAAGACAGGAGTGCTTACAAAAACTAACCGTTAAGGTGTTTGTCTATCCACATAAATAAAGGGAACTCGTCGTTCTACTTCCAGACCTGCTGAATAACAGAATTGTCACACTGTAGTACAGTAATTAGAGTAGTACAAAGCTATGAAAAATATATCAGTGTAAAGGCATAAGAGACTCGCTCAACAATCACAACACCACTACACGACACCATCAAGATTCACACAGAGCTGCTCAGGGGTACGCAGAGTTGCTCTAGACGAGTTCACCGCTTCAGAAATCACAATTTTTATCAAGCCGCGACATTTGCTGTCTTTGGAAAGTAGTTTTGTGTACAATCAATAATGCAAATCAACAGCTATTAGTCATTTTAACTCTGAAAATGTAGAGTACCAATTCACAGTTCAAATTCTATTCTGACATTTCCCAATGTAATGCAGATATCACAGCATCCAACAACAACAGCTGCCTACCCCTAGGCCACACTGACTATTACAATTTCTATCAACTTGGCCTGCCAAGTCTCTCCACTAGAGGACACTCTGGTTCCAACAAAAGGACGACGTGCCACTGCAAACGGTAGGACACAGCAAGAGATCTCCTCTCTATGAGTCAAATCCAGCACAAAGCATGTCCAGACTGAATAAAGCAGACTGTATGCGTGACATGACTCCCAAATCTGTCACATAACTATATCTGCCATTAAATAAAATGGCGAGTAGTTTTAGATTAAGGTCTTTGGATTTTTTCTGAAAATGTGTCTGCTAGTTTGGACCTGGTGGAGATGATAACCACCAACAATATGAACAAAGAAAGAAGCAAAGGTCGCAAGAACAAGCTGACATGAACAAGGTCAAAGGCACAATGAGTAGGTTTTAGAAGAAACTATGTATAGAAATAGAAATCCCTTTCGATATTTGTATAATATTTGTGGCATGTCTGTAACTGCAGACACTGCAGCCCTCTGCCTGTATATCAATCTCTATAAAAAACAAATTGATAAAAGTGCAAGATCGTAAGCACTGGCTAAAGAGAAAGCTACAAGAATGGTGGACACGGCACCAAAAACAACAAGAAATATAGCAAGGTGAGATGTCAAGCAGACAAAGCTTGTTTCAAAACTGCTGATGTTCATTTAGTTGTGTTTACCATTGGCAACTAACACAACTACTCATTGTGCCTTTAAAGAATAGGTTTACATTGTTTCAAGTCTGCCTTTAACAGTTATTTGTTTCTTCCTCTCTACAACAGGTATACAGGGGTCACCTGATACTGCTGTTTGAATGTAAGACAGACATTCCACTCTGTGAAGTCAAATCAAGTAGCTACCTTCTAAAAAAACAGATGTTTTTGCGAAATGTACTCGTTTTGTTGCGATGTCCCTACAGTTCAGCAAGGAAACACAACAAGGAATTTGTTCACTACTTTTTAGTGTCCTTACGAACAGAAAGAACAATTATAGCAAGCAACATATATGTCAGTGTTCAGACTTGAAACCCTGTGAAGCTACCCTGAAGATGTTAGCAAACAGAAAGAAGAAAACACAGATGCACCGTATGAGAGCTGACTGTCCGGAGGGAATGTGAAAAGTGGTCTTTGAGATCGTGTCCATTTTACATTTCAGGGTAATCTAAGAATGGGACCTACATTTGAACTAACGCTGCATAGCACTGAATATGAAGCTTGATATAAATGCATAGGTGTGTATTATAATTTATCATAGATCTGAAAGAATTGTATGAAATCTCATTTTCACATACTGTAATGATCAATACGAGTAATTGAAATTGAAATTGATCAAATCCTTTTTTTTGCTTAGTTTTCTGAGTTTCTACTGGAGATCAACCTCTGTATCTACACCGGTATCTAAAATCTACAGTTATTCATTTTTACCCTAAAAATGGAGGTTTGGGAACCAAAGAGGGGATACCACAAAAAATTGCCTGTTTGGAGAAATTGTGCCGGATGACAAACACATAGTCGCATACACACACACGCACACACACACACACACACACACTGGGCACCCACAGGGGCCACAGCAGGGGGCTCAGCAGAGGAAGATGATGGGAGAATGATGGTTTTGAGTCCAAAGGCAGCGTTTTGTTTCGTCGGAGGAAGCTTTAACACACAAACTCCTGTCTCATGCGGATGATCTGTAGTAAGGCGGCTTGGACGTCTTCATCCATGTGGCCCTGCGTGGAAAAAAGAGCCAGAAAAGAGCTTCAGCTGATCAATCTGCACGGATATTTCCCTCTGTAAGCTCTGTTGTCAATTACGCTTCAGCTCCTGAGAGACACGGTGAACTCACATTAACATTATGGAATAAATTGGGCCGAGTACATATTGTGTTGTGCAGCCTTTTTGAGGTTCCCTGTTTTGATGGACCATTAGCGTTGTTATTATTACATGTTCCCGAATCCATTTTCAAATGATCAGCAGGCTTTCACAACATTTCACTGAGTGTAAACAGATAAAGTACCCCCTGCTTTTGGATTTTGACGCTTCTCTAAAAGTTGGTTTTGACAAACACACAATCATGATTTAATAAAACTGGCAGGGTTTCAAATACATTTCTTTCGGTTTGTCACACAAGCCTTTAATGATCTGTTTCTCCTCAATAATGATGACTGCATGCTAACTACAGTCATGCAGATGCTGTTGTGGCAGCTCCCAATTACTTTCTGTTTCCATAAGGATGTTAGAAATGTATGACTACGAGTAACATCATAATAACATCTGTGAGTGAAGGGAGGTTTGCTTCATTAAATCAGAAAAGGGTTGCAGGGAATGGCCATGGATCTACACAGTGCGGGTTACAGCTAAATGTATGATTCTACCTTCTATGAAATCAAGAGCGTTTTTAATTAAAATCATTAATCTCCTCATTTTCTGTTCACAATTAAATGTGCCCTTCAATAAAGACGGTGAGATGAACTTACCTGTGCTGCACTGAGAAGATGCGTCCTGTAAATGGAAACCACCTCCCTGTGTTGCCTCTCAGCATCCTAATGGAGCAGAGGAGGAAGAGAAGAAGACAACACAGTGCTTATTGTTAGCAACAAATGCACAGTGGTGCTAATACTGACCTGGTGCAGTCACTGAATTTCACATTATTATATATGATACACCCAACTGTTAGGATAAGAACTGCCATTTTTATTTAGTCATGATGTTTGCTGGGAAAAAAATCAACAACAGTAACTGAGATGTTGACTTCTTATTTCCCCTGTATTTATCAACTAAAGGGGATATACATGGTGCGATCACTATTAGTCACTTAGTATGTCTATGCTCCTGTAGTATTTTGGCCCTTTATGAGAACATTTTTATCATCCAGAATATTTTACATTATTTATATTTGACATACTATTTTTCATTTAAATATTATTTGTAATTGTTAATTCTCTATTGCATTTTCAGCATTTTAATAAAAAAAACAAAAACTGCTTCTGTAACAAAAGAGTTTCCCAAATGTGGATCTATCAAGTAGAATATAATAGAATTCTTTATTGTCATTATATAGGTACAATGCAAAATAAACTGATATCTATCTATCTACTTATGGTTGTTTTTAAAACAAGGTCCCTACCTTTCTTAAACAGCACATTTACTAAATGTCTGGGCCCAATTCACTTATTACTCATGGTTTGAAGTAGATAACACAAGGAGAGTTGCTGTGCAGTTTATCCAATGAAACAAAAAGGAGGATATCAATGATAACATGATTTCCATATGTCCACTCACAGCCAGCTGTTGCTGCAGGTTCTTGATCTGGGCGTGGAGTGTGTCGATGTGCTGCGTCTGCCTCTTGTTGGGCGCGTTGCTTGTGATTGCCAGCTGGGACAGACCGTTCAGCGCCTGCTTCAACCGCTCAACATCTGTCAGCAACTCTGTGATCTGACACACAAATATTACAACATTACTTTATGAACCCTTAACAAAACTGAAAGAAGAGTTATATGCCTGGAAAAAGAAACAGATTTTCTTTCAAAGAAACCTGTTTTCTATCTACAGTATAGTACATTAAACGTGTTAAACACACATAATGCCAGCAAAAAAAGTATAACAAAAATAAAACTATGACAGGTGTTTACTACCTTCCTGTCTTTGGCTTCAGTCTGCTGCGCTGACGTCTGAATCCTCTTCTTTAGATCACAGATGGTGCCGAGCGACTCCTCGTATCGTTCCTTCAGCTCCCTCACTTCCCTCTCGATGGCGCGTCCCTTCTCCGTGACCTCCTCCATCTCTGTGCGGGCCCTGCCCTCCCCCTCCCTGGCGTGCTGGGCCTCCCTGCGCGCCTCGTCTCCCCCCTCTGTGGAGCTCAGTAGTTTGCTGCTCAGGGCGTTGGCCTGCTCCTCCAGCTGCTGCTTCTCCTTCTTCAGCTGCTTTATTTGGTCTTCTTTGTAGCGGTGATTCTCCAGAGCCTGTGTGGCCTGCAGGAGCTCAGATTGCAGGGCGGACACATCTTCGGCTCTCTGGGCGTTGTTCTCCTCCTCTTCACGGAGAGCCAATCGAAGCTGGGTGACCTCGGCCTGCAGGGCTTCCTGGGCCTCGGCTTGATGATGCAGCAGGGACGCTTGATCCCCGCGGCGTTCCTGAACCTCTCTCTGCAAGGCGCCCACCCTCTGGGCCTCCTCCTGCTGAGCCTCTCTGGCTTTCTTACAGTCGGCCTGCGCGTGCTGCATGGCGTCATGGAGGGCTTTAAGCTCCGTGTCGTATGTTGCTATCCGAGTTAACTCTGCTTTCAGACGCTCCTGGAGGTTCTGGATCTGAGCCTTGCTCAGGGCCTTCTGCTCTTGAAGATCAGCCTTCTGAAGCGTTGCCTCCTTGTGCTGCTGCTCCAAGCTGGCCAACTTCTGAGTTAATTCCTCAATGTGACCCTTGAACTCTTTCTCCACATTCTTGTGCTTTTCACTGGCAGAGTCTAGTCTCTGTTGGACAGATTCACTCTCAACCTTTAGTTTGTCTTTCTCCTGCTGGTTGCCCTCATTGACAGACCTCTCCTTGTTATACTTCTCTTCTATTTCCAACAGCTTTACTGTCAACTCCTTCACCTTGGCACTGTGAGAGTGCTCCTTCTCCTCCGCCGCCGTCAGTGGGATGAACTTTGACAGAATAGCCTCCTGAATGGTATCGAGTTCTTTCTTCTGCGCCTCCAGTTCTTGGGTGAGCTTGATGGTTTCCTCCTGAGCGGACACATACCTCCCTGACACTTCGTTAGCTTTGTTCTCTGCCTCCACAATTGCAGCATTCAGCTGGTCTGCGATAGCTTTGTGCTCTTTTACACTTATATATTCTTTTTTCATCTCCAACAGGGCTTTGTCCAACTTTTCTTTCGACTTATCGTTTCCTTCTTTCATATTCTTTAATTCTTCTGCACTTTCTTTTCCCTTGGTCTCCAACTTCAATATCTCAGCTTTGGCTCTCTCCAAGGTGGAGCTCAACTCCATCTTCACTTGCTCGTGCTGCTGCCTGGGAACGTACTCTCCCTCCAAGCTCTGTTTCAGAGTCTGGCTCTGCGTGCTCAGCTGCACACACTCTTTATCTCTGTCTTCACATCTGCTCTGCAAAGCTTCAAGTTTCTTCATCATGTCGGCGTTCTGAGACCTCAGAGCGTCCATCTCACCTTGGTGTCTCTCGCTGGCGCTCTGCACACTGCTCACTGCTGTCTCCTGCAGCGCTATCCTCTCGCTCTGAAGCTGCTGGACTTGTGCCTCTGCTTTTCCGTAACGTTCGCTGGCTTCTACCAGTTTGTCCTCTAACTCCTCCAAAGCTGTCACCATGTTCCCCCGGGCTTCATCGTGCATCGTCATGGGTACGAAGTCGCTCTCCATCCTGCTGTTGAGCTCGTCAAGCTGCTCTCGTAGTATATCCCTCTCCTCCTCACTTTCCTCCACCTCCTGAATGAGAGACTGGCTCTTGGTAGTCACGTCCACCAGTTTCCTTTTCAGAGAAGCATTCTGCTCTTCGAGAGCCTTCAGGATCCTCTTCTGTTCCTCAGCAGCCCCCGCTCCTCCCTGGGATGAGGGACTGTCCAGCTTTCGGTGAAGCTCTGCCACTTCCTCCAGCACGCGATCGTAGTCCTCCCTCAGCTCGGCGATCTGCCGTTCCTTCTCGTCGACTGCGTTGCTCAGCAGGTTCTTCATGTTGTCAAACTTCTCAGCTGGTACCGTGTGGCCCTGTTTAGCCAGGGTGTCCTTCAAATTGGTTTCCATTTCTAAAAAGGCTTCTGCTAGTTCATCTCTTTCTGCAGTCAGCGCCTGCAGATCTTGGTTCAGACTTTCTGCCTCTGTTGCCAGCTGGTTCTCGCTGCTCTTGTACTCCTCCAAGGCCTTCTCGCTCTGTTTCAGGCGATTACGAATGCGACCCACTTCGGCGGAAGCTCCTTCATACTTGGCCTTGATGTCCTGGAGCTGGGCGCGCAACTCTTCGGCCCCCTGGCCCCCCAGGTGTTCCTTAACAGCGACTACATGGGCCTGCAGCTGTTTGACCTTACACTCAGAGTCCAGCATCCTCTTCTGGACGTCGCCCAGGGCGTCCTCCAGCTCTTGGACCTGCTGGTCGGCCTGTTTCTGGATGGTGTCTCGGCTCTGGACCAGCTCCTGGCACTCTCGGTTTTTACGGTTCAGGGCGGATTGAAGCCGTGCCGCATCTTCATCCGAAGCATGCTGTCTCTTCTTGACCTCATCAAGTTCTTGCAGGAGTGCGTCCAGTTCCCCAGAGACTGCCCAGCCCACAGTGGACGGACCCTTCTCTGAAGATCTGGAAAGCGAACGCGCCATGGGAGCATTCTTGAGCATCTGCAGAGAAAGATGAAATACATATTAAATCAGCATTAATAGTCATTTTTATTTAAGCCCCTTCATTCAAAAGTTAAAAAGGTTCCTCAGCTTTCTTTGCCTTCTTAGTTGTAATTCTCTAGGGCAATGAGGATCTGAACAATGTATAAGCAGTTTCATTTGTATGCAGGTCCTAACTCAACACTGCATTTTAAGCGTTTGAAAGCCATGTGGAACTGTTCCACAGATAAACACGTACCTGATCAGAATCCAGGCTTTGAGCTTTTTTCACCAAAATGTTTTCTTTACCTGAAAGACAACAGGGTACAACATTCAAACCTCCTCATACTCTGCAGCTGAACTTTGAAATAATCTTAACAAATGTTTCTCAATGCTTACCTTTGATGACAGACTGTCCAGAGTAATCTCCCTGTGAAACAAAACGATACACATACTCAATACAAGTGTTTGGGGCTTTTTAGAAGGATATTATTTTATAAGACTTTTTAGACTTACAAAATATTTTTTCTTTTCTTTTTAAAATCTACTGTCTAGTTCACTACAGTCATTATCCTTTTTAGAACCTAAACCAAACATACAGTGTGTTTTAAGTCTGAATAATAATTATATCATATTTTGATATATTGAGGAAAAGAAGGCTCAAAGTAGAACACATTTATAAATTCGCTGACCAAAGTACTCCGGAGCTGGACTTTGACCGTTTCTGGGCCTCGAGCCCCTTCCTCTCTTTCTTTGGTACCACGTAGCACTTTCAACATGTCCTTCTGATCCAAGAGGAAGGAAAAACAAAGCACATCAAGAAATGACTATATTGAATTATTGAGAGATGGCAAACACACAAAATGACGCTTAACGAAATAAGTAAAAAAGCTTAAAATTAACTTTTATTTACTTATCATTGTGTCATGTATCATTCATCAGTTCAGGAACAATTGATCTTATTCATGACATATAGAAGGGCATGCATCGGAATTATATGTATGCACAAAGATATGTGAGAGGTTCGTACGTTTTTGTGATTTTAAAGCTCTTTTGCCCTACTTCCAGACGAAAACATAATTTATTTATAGTTTGTTTTAGGAAGACTATTTTCTACTATCCTGAATGTGTGGACCTGGTAAGATGTTATTAAGTTAAGTAACAATCGAGTTGCATTCAAACTGTGACACCTCCCGTTTTCTTTCCTTCACTTCCAACAGCTCTGTGTTGATACAGCACCACTCACTTATGTTTAGGTCTCAGAGGTCATACGGTAACTTAACACTGTCTCCACACCACACTAATGACTGCTACGGCTGAATAATAATGACACGTTCAATACAATGTGTATCAAGGTTCTTTAAAACAAATGTAACCAAGGAAACAATAGGAGAACAAAACAATTGATAATGAGGCAAACCATGTCCAATAAATCATTTACTTCATACCTCTTTCTGAGTGTCTCCTACAGTGACCTTTTCCTGTAGATGAATACAAAAAGATTGTAAATACAGTCAATTGAGTAACCGACAATACTCCAATACAATAGAATGTTGTTAGATATTATTCTGGCAGCTATTACTGAGCAATCTATTATGCTCACTGAAAAAGAAACACATGAGATTAAAAACGTATGATGAGGAAAATAAATAAAGAGAGCACGACTATTTCTTAGCTTTTATATTGTTATATTTGATTATATCTCACTAGACCTTTAGTTTAGGACCCTCAGATCTACCCACCCACAGATATAAACAGTATTCAAATGAGAAACATGCATGTTTTTTCACCTGTGTGAGCTGTTGCTGCAGCATGTTGACCTTATCCAGCAGGGCTCTCTGATCCTGCTGGTATTTCCTGAGATTCTCCTGCAGGCCCTCGTTCTGCCTCTCCAAGTCCTGAACACACACACACACACACACACACACACACACACACACACACACACACACACACACACACACACACACACACACACACACACACA